AAGTCTTGTTCCAAACCACCACCTATGCTACACTACCCTCCTTTAAATTGTGAAAATTGTGATGGATCCCCCCACCTATGGATGTAATAGTACTACTTGCATTGTATCAGATTATCCCATCTATCATTGTTTCCAATTGTACAAACAAACAAAAATTTGTGAGGTGGGAGAATCTAAAAATTCCCTTAATTTAAATTCCAAGAAGACAGCACTTTTATACAAGAGGATCTATGGCCTTCATTAGCAATCCAATCCACTACTTGATTCTCCTTGTAAATGTGGTAGTAAATAAGGTTTATTTTACTCTTGCATTATTTTGTTGCACTCTTCCATCATCGAACAACATCTCCATTGAAGTTTTTGGCAATGCAATTAAATTTACAACTGCCCTCATTAAAATTTATTTTTATCTTAGGTGGCTTGGGGGACCACTTTTATTTATTGCTTGAAAAGGGGGGATCACATCGATTCTTTTTTCTTTTTTATTTTTGTCATTAAGAAGAGTTTTTGAGGTTCTCAATATTCTCTTAAGCTCTCTAGAGCTTTCTCTTACAGGGTTCTAAATTCTCTATTATTGAAAAATTTTTCATGTGTATTTTTCCAAATATACCACAATACAAAATCTATTGTTTTTTTTTTTTTTCAAAAGAGATAAAAATGTCTTTTTTAATCCATTAGATCTATCCACAACCAGTTCCTAATTTGGTCGGTTCTCACCTTGGTGGTTCCAGGGTCTAATCGTGGAACCTGTTCCTAATTTACTTTTCCCTTTCAAGAAAAGGAAAATGAAACATGCCCTTCAAAAATTTGATTTTCAATAATGATAATATATAGTTTAAAACTTATATTATCTTTATTGACTAAATTGAGTAATTTAATATGTAGATTCTCATAATATATTAACATATGGTTGGAAATTTGTCATGATAATTTAAATTTTATAAATATTACCTTTTATAATATTTATTATACACATAAATATTAAAATGAAAACAAATGATCAAATCACTTAAGCAACTCGATGGTCAAGTGAGACCATGGCTTTTATAACCATTAGTGCTTGGGTTCAAACCTTCACATCCTTGAAAATATTTTGGGGTTCATTTCAAGGCAAGTTCAATTCCAAGGCCAGTTCCACCAAGGTTGGTTTGGGTAGGGTAAATCCCTAAACCATGGAATCAGATCCTACCCTGTAATAAATCGGGTAAAGTCAGTTCAAGGATGGCTCGAGGTCGATCCTAGAGATAACATTATTCCCGATTACAATTGATACCCCGTCTCAAACAAACTATTCTTTTACGGAGTTTATTCCTAAGAATTAACAACAAAATATCTTGATTTTGGGAGGAACTCTACTTTATCTATTTTTGATCTTTTAACATCTCATCTTCTTCGTCTTCTTTATTAAGACAAGCATAAGTTGAAGACCCGGACTGATTTGGATGTTTCTTATGATGGAGGAATATATCTGGCCACTCTAACCTGCAAGCAACAAATAAAGCACCTGAGACAGTCTATTAGAGAAATAGGCAATAGAAAGCAATCCGATCTGAATTGGGCTAAACACAATGGGAGGCTATTTGCCCTTCCCAGACCTATTTCTTACACATATCATCTAACACATATAAGATATGTAATGGCTTAACCCAATATTTGTTTCCCTAATTTTAAGGTCAGGAATATAATTGGATTGTACATTGAGAGCAAGACAACTCAATTCCAAGCCCATCTTGATTGAAATAAGGCTCTCACAAGGATCTCATCACTTGATATCCAGCTACCAAGTCAATTTGCTTTGCATTGACTTAAAAAGAGCTGGAAATAGGATCTAATGCAATTCAAAGTAGTTTCTCTATGCATAAAAAATATTTTCAAGGAAACAGTAACCAAATAAACTTTTTTATAGATAATAATAATAATAATGATGATGATGATGATGATGATGATAAATAGTAATATAGGAAGAAAGGAAAAATATTAGTTTTATGTAAAAGTGAGGCACAAAGATTACCAATCTTCAATTAACATGTAGTTTATCACATGGCCAGCAGATTTTTCAACGTTGAGGATCAAACGAGGGTCTATAATACTTGTCTAAACTGACTTTACTGTGGACCTCACAACCATGATGTGTTCAACCCCCCCCCCCCCTCCCAAAAAAAATAAAATAAAAAAAAAACATCGCGCATTATCTTTATCATTCAAGGAAATTGTTATAGCTTGAATTTTCTTACTTATTTCTTCCAAGAATAATTGTCTTATTTTTTTTCCCAATCCTATTCATTTGTATCCTTGACAATAATCTCTCCCCTAGGTTGTTTCTTTCTAGAGATTCATCATTGACAGGCCCCAATTATATATATGTATATACTATATAAAAGTGGGTATGTAGTGTGGAAGCTTTTATGGACTAGAATTACCCTTTATTTCTTTGTTTGAGAAATAGTGTAAAAGTCATTTTACTATGCATTGCTTTAGTGCTAGCTTTAATTGCTACAAAAATGCCCACATTCATGTATTTAATCCATCTCTAATTGTAAGAGTTGAAAATGTAACTTTAATTATTACTTTCTAACCTCATTTAATCCCCTCTTATTAAGTCTTATACTTAATGTATTAACTCTCATTTCCAGCCAATTGAGTGGTGGCTCGGTTGGCTTTGTAAGCTAGGTAGTCCTAGTAGAGACATGGATTCGAGTTCTGCTATTTCCACTTACATTGAAAATTAGTGTTTTGTGTTAAATACCAAAAAACTCATATTTTCTCATATTAAATTTTATATTTAAGTTATTTTTACTAGTAAATTCCATTAATTAGATCTATACCAATATTTTTAACAATATAAACCCATATATTTTAAAATTGACTCAAAAACAAAATAATTATTTATCCAAGTGATGGCCAAGCAAAATAACCATCTCAGTCAAATTGATCAACCTATGGAGTAAAAGTTAGGTAATAAAAATTTTAAAATATAAATAAATATAAAAGAGTAAAAAAGTATAGAAAAATCAAACATATGTATGATATTTTTGTTAACCAAATTAAAAAAAAATAAGTGCAATAAACAAGAATTATTTTTATTGACAATGAAAATGAAATGCATAATTTATAATTGACCAAAAATGAAATTATTTTATTGTTTGGCAAAGATAAATAGTTCAACTTTTGGATCAAATGTGTTAACCTTTTAATGTCATATATAAATAATAAAACTTAATAAAATATAAAAATACATAAATTTTGAAAAAAAAATAAACATTTAGGAATAGCTAGGGATGGCAATTTCACGGGAATTTTCAAGTATTCGACCGGTCCTAACCCTAATAGAACCCATTTATCAAAACCTTATAGGGTTTGGGATGGGTTTGGGTTTTGACTTTAGGGTATCTGATACCTGATACCCGTGATGCACAAATATGAACATATTATATTATATATCATGCATAAATTTATAAATTTTAAGTACTAAGATAATTATTCTTTTATTAATATTTTATTTGTATAAATTTTTTGGGATTAAAATCATCATTTGATGTAAATTTGGATTTAATAGATTGTTTATTTCATCTAGATATAAAATGCTAATTTTAAATATTATTTCTTTTAATTTTTAGTTAGAATTGTAAATCATATATATGTATTGATTGTTTTGGTGAACACAAAAGTTAATAAAATCTATTTTATTTCATAAACAAAAGGCGAGATGGCTTAGTGGCTTAAAGTAGTGCTAAGAGATTTGATGCTATAATTAATTGATCAAGGTTTAAGTCACACTATAAGCATTAAGAAACTTTTCTTAGTAGAAAATGTTTGGTCAAGGGGTTTAAAAAGTTTGAGATGAGATGGGTTTGGGAAATTGAGAGGAAAAGTTTAGCCAGGTTTGGGATGGGTTTGGAATCAGGGATACATAGGTGGGTTTGAGAATGGGTAAGGCAATTTGCACGGGTACCCTACCCATTGCCATTCCAATTCAGGCACATATATCATATCATATATTTATCATATTAAACAAAAAGTAAGTGTGATATATTGGAATTATTTTATACATAGAAATAAAAAAAATTATGAAAAAGTACAAACATGCCCAATGAAGATTTCTGATTTCCACTGCATAGCTATACACATTCAAAATGCCAACTATCCACACTCTATGCACCAACGTCTGCCCGTGAATTGCCATTAATTCCAAGCTGGCACCTACCCCAACAGTTCTTTGGGCCTACAAATTATGACCCTGGGTTGAACCATCTTTCTCCCAAAAAATTATAAAAAAATTGATCACATCTATAATTTATATCACATTACTATTAAAAATATGAGTATGATTGTGGAACTTTCTTTTAACTAAGATGCTCATCTTTTTTAATTTAGTTCTATTTAATTGTGAAATTTAAAATGTAAATTAAACTACTCCTTTTCACCTCATTTAATTCCCTATATTTAAATCTTACATTTTTTTGATAAATAAACAAAAATATAAAACATTGCACAAAAGAAGAATCTAGCCAAGTAGATAGGTCTATCAATGATAATTAAAACTTCACAATTCCATCAAATTTTCAGGGTGAGGTGTTTATGTAATCAGATTTGGATTTTGCAATAAAAAAGAAAAATAAAAAATACACAAAGTTTATAAAAAATTTTGGATACATTATTACTACCATTATCATCATTTAGAATTGCCACATACAAACACATGCACACTTATTACACATTTAAAGGGACAATTAAAACCTAAATATCCTTCCATAGACTACATTTTTTTCCATTTCCAATCATCCAAGAGCCATTGTTTCTATGATCAAAGGAGACAAACATCAATAGCAGACGTTAGCCGAGGAGTTTCAAATCTGCGCCCCACCCAGTTTTGCCCCACAAACGCCCCACACGCTCAACATCCACCACCTGTCCCTTCACACGGTGGCACTAAATGGCGCATGCAGGACTAACAGGATGCCCGTTAGCCCCTTCCATTACCCCCCAAAAATCCCATTTACTCCCATTTCATACCATTTCATTCGACAGACTAGGGTATCTCAAAACCCTCTTCCCACCTCCTCCCTCTCGAGTGCCTGACCCCGAGTGCTTCTTCCTCGCCAGAGCATCTTCTCCTTCTCTGACACCAGCGACCTATAACGACAACTGGTGGTACTCTCCAGCCCACCTTTTCACCACCTCATTTTTTATTTCTCTTTTTTTCATCATATTTTCATTTTCTAGATATTAGAGAAACCGGCAGAAGAGTTATATTCTCCTTCTCGGGCACCAACAGCCTACAACAACAATGGGCGGTACTCTCCAGCCCACCTGTTCACCTCATTTTTTATTTTTTCTTCTTTTTTCTGATATTTTTGTTTTTCAGATATTAGAGAAAATGGTGGCAGAGTTTTCTTCTTCTTCAGCACCAGCGACCTACAACAGTAACCAGCAGTACTCTCCAGCCCACCTTTTCACCTCTTTTTATTTTTTCTTTGTTTTTCTAATAACTACAGTTGTGCTATTTAGAGGTTGTTACATGCACGATTTAAGTGGATTATTTATATTTTACATCACTTAACGGGAAATAACACCAATAGATTTCTTTTTTATCAAAACCAATGGATTTCTCATTTTGATGTTATCACTTAACGAGAAATTTTTGTTTTTTTTTTCAGAAACCAAATTCTTGGTTTTCCCCACTTCATCCAATTTTCCCAACCAACCCTTCTTCATCTCTTTAGATTGCTTTGGGTACATCACATCTAAATCTTGCTTTGATAAACTTATCATTATACTGACAATTCCACATATTTATCAAAATGCTCTCTAGTTGTGGTCATTCAAGGATACTTATTGAATGTGCATGTGTATTTTTAAGTGTTTATTATTTGGTAGCAACAATTTGTTGTTTGGTTCTGGTATTCATGTGAATATTATTTGTATATTATCTATACTTTGGAGGCTTGTTGTTTTGTTTTTTAAGCAATGTTGTTGGGTGTCTATTTTCTACATTCTTGGATTCTGGGGTTCATATTTTACCCTCTTTTCTATGCTGTAAGTTATTTAATAAACCACTTGTATGCAGATGAGTATTTGAAAGTATTTGAATGTTTCTACAGTGACCATATCATTTATAAAATATGACCAATTTATTTTTTTCTGTATTATTTAATCCCATACTGGGTTAATTTCTTAGTTCCACATAAGAATAAATTGTGTTGGCATGTGCAACAAGAAATGGAGGCCACACCAAACTCTATGCAAAGGTTGGTGTTTGAACTTGATGGAGATGAGGGTGAACCATTCAAATCTTCATCTAGCATGGGTAAAATGGAGGGTACCAACATTGTCAATGCTTTTGATGAGGTATAAGCTTTGCCTAATATAATTGAAGAACTTGATAAACCTAATAATGATTTGCCTACATGTGAGGAAACTAAAGGCATTGATGCAAGTATTGAAAATATGTTGAAAGAAAAATTAAGTGTTATTTCTAAAGAGTGCACTCCAAAGGTTAGCATGATATTTGAAACAATAGAGGAAGCATATGAGTTCTATAATATATATGCTGGGAAGGTGGGGTTTAGTACTCGAAAAGAAAATAGAGTTGTTGACAAGGGGATAAATCAAGTAAGATACTGCAAGTTTTGTTACTTGAGAAGGCAAACGTAGTGCAAATAAATGTGGGGTCTATGTAAAGAAGAATAGACAAATGATAAGATGTGGTTGTATGGCAACTATGAAGATAAGTCATACGAAAGATGGTTATCGTGCCATTGGTTTTGATGAGATGCATAATCAAATAGTTACAACCCCTTCCATGTCGCATATGTTGAAGCCACAAAGAAGAATCAATGACGCACAAGGTAATCAAGGTATAATGGCAAATGATGTAAGAATTGCTCCAAAAGCAGTAATGGAGTTGATGGCCAGCGAGGCTGGTGGACATGAAAGTATTGGGTTTACTTCAATGGATTTGATGAATTACTTGCATACATACCGGACTAGAAATATGGAGAAGGGGGAGGCAGGTGGTGTTCTGAAATATTTTAAAAACAAGGTAATCACAAGATTCATCATTTGTTTATGCAATTCAACTTGACCAAGTTGAATTAGTTACATATCTATTTTGGGTAGATGCTCAAATGATTGTAGATTATGCTCATTTTGGTGATGTGATATGTTTTGACACAACATATAGAACAAACAAAGAGAATAGACCATTTGTGGTATTTGTTGGGGTGAATAATGTGTTTGTCAAAACTATGGGAGGAAAAAAGCCTAAAACAATTCTAACTGATGTTGATGCATCTATGGCAAAAGCAATTGGTTTAGTACTACCAGAATCACATCACCGGTTATGTGTATGGCATATGTTCCAAAATGCAACAAAACACCTTAGTGGTGTGTTTGAAAGATTTAAATCATTTTCTAAAGATTTTAGTAGTTGTGTGTATGATTGTGAAGATGTTGATGATTTTGAAGATGCATGGGTGGGCATGATCAATAAGTATGGACTTCAGAAGAATGAGTGGTTGCAAAAATTATATAGTAAGAGGCACAAATGGGCATTAGCTTTTGGACGACAATCATTTTCTGCCGGGATAGACACAACACAAAGAAGTGAGAGTTTGAATGCTTTTCTCAAGAAATAACTCAATATTAGGTATGACTTGTCAAGGTTTCTTTAGCACTTTGAAGAGAGTAGTTGCTGATAGGTGGTATGAGGAGTTGAAAGTCGAATTTGCAACAACACAAAGCATGCTAATCATGACAACACATGTGGGCATACTGGATTTTGCTTCTCGTGTGTATACACCACCTATCTTTTCCCTGTTTCATAATGAAGTAATGCAACAATTGACTTGCACCATTATAGAAGATCGTGTGGTGTCTGAAATGGTAATTGAATATACAAATCATGTGTATGTTGTGAGCCGTCGGTTCATTGTGACATTTGATTCAAGAAATAAATCAATTAGTTGTAATTACTGGAACTTTGAATTTGTTGGGGTCTTATATAGGCATGCATTGAAGATACTTGATTATAGGAGGGAGCCCTTACCCTCATCCTATGTATTGAACCGATGGACCATTGGTGCAAAAAAATGCAAGGGTGTAGCATCTCATGGATTTAATAGGTACTCTGATCAAGCTGCAAAAATAACAACACATGCAAAAGAGATGTTTCATCTACTCACCCAAGTGGTAAATAATGATGCTTACAACATTGTTATGCAAGTAGGAGAAAAGCTGTTGGAAGATGTGACAAGGTGTTTAAGGAAGTTACACTGAGAAATCATTTATAGCATCTCACGATATGCAATTTGAAAATGAAAAAATTGGGTCTCCTTGCATTGGTCTTGATGGCACACAATCAGAAATGGATGTTGGTATTAACACCAATGCAATGAATGTTGGTGATAACACCAATGCAATGCATATTGGTGATAACACCAGTGTTGAGGGTAGTTCTATGGGGATTGGGTTTCTGAAATCAGCAAAGGGATTTAAGCACAAGGTTTCCTCTGTACACTCTTCAAAAAGATCAAAAAATGCCTTGTAGAAAGCACTAGTCAAGCGGAGAAGAACAAAGAAAGACCAATCTAATGATAAATGCTCTTCACAGGTATTTTTCAATTTACTTCAGTTTTTATTGTTCAAACATTTAATTGATTCTTCTATGATTCAGACTTGTAGAGATAGGGGCACTGTGAATCCTATAACCAATAAAGTGATAAATTTTGGTAAATATTTGTTGCACTTGAAACTTTAACAAAATCCTGAAAAATTCAGGGTCAAGGTTCTGCGGACAATATTCAAACTACTACAGATGGAAGTGATCCACAAAGAACCATTCCTTACCTTCTTCTTGTAAGTTATTTTTTCCTCCGTTGTGAGTTTACAATAATTTCAAGTGAGTTATGTATTCTGATATCATGGAGTTACATTATAGATGAATTGGCAACAACAACACACTATGCCCTCACCTTTGCAAGTAATTGTTTGAAATTAACTTAAAGTTTTAAGCAAAGATCAATTTTAGTAGACAACAACTAATATATTCGTTACATATATTTTTTGCCACAGGCACCACATTGGTTTATGTATAACCATTCTAACTCTTTTGTAAATAATTTTCTCATACAAGTAAGTGGTGTGCATGGATTTTTTCAATACTCTATAAAATCATTGCAATTCATAATTGGGCATTGTATCTATAGACAGAGGTACCTGAAAGTAAGTTAAGTCAAACCATCTCTAATAAATCTCATATGAGCAAATGTTTATTTCTAAAAATGTGTTTTATTTTTTATTTTTATTTTTTGTATAATTACAAAAACACTTTCATGTGTAAATGCAAGAATCATCTTGGATTGGACCACTCTATCAAGACCAACAACTAGAAAAGGGGGGGATGCCTTAGGCTAGCATGTTATCAATCAGGTGAAGGGAATTCACTTGATAATTTTCTCACTCTTATTCTTATTTTCTGGGAAGCCAAACACTACATGAAGGGAATTCACTTACTTATTGAACTGCATTCAACTATTTTATTATTTCATAGCTATGAAAAATTAACTTAAAATGTTATTTGGTTTGCAGGTTTTGGCTATGTCTATGAACTCCATCCAACTTAGGAAAAAAATGAAAGAAGTAGAGAGGGAAGGTAGTGTAGTGGTTGGATAGTATTGTAAACTGACAAATTATATCTTGAACACTTCAATCATTTCTGCATCATATCCTTGATTTTCTATATTTTAGGAAAAATGTAAAGATTGTCACCATTATTCCATCATTTCTGGGTTTGATTTTAATCTATGAGAGATTATTTGGCGTTTAATGGATCCAGCCACACATGAATACACTGAAAATAATGGGTGAGGCCTTTTTATTGATTTAATTTTGAATATATTAATACTGAATTTCCCAATTCCCTACATTAGTTATGAACACAATGCAGATTGCAAGCTTGATAATGCTAAGCGTCACCGTCTCAACCACCTGGAAAACCTAATAGAGAGTTGAAGGAATCTCATCAAGTGACTTACGATTTTGAGTAACGTAATAGAAAAGTTATGTGATTTAGCATTAGCAGTCTGTTAGCTATTAAAATATAAATTTTTGTAATTTTATATTATGTGGAGTACAAACATCGGCGAAACAAAGACTAGATTTATGGTTTATCTCAATTCATCTAAAACAGGAAGTGAAATCAATGGGCACACCACTTTTTCTTTCTCATTAATGCCAAAGAGATTAGATTAGCGTTAACTCCAACTGAAATTTGTTCTCGGGGATGTGTGGTCTGGTTAATCAACTAGCAAGGCAACCCTCCGGTTCAGATCGTTCAATATAATTTCTTGTTAAAAATCTTGACCTGTTGTACTTTGTGAAAAAGTTGTAAATCTAGAAAAAATGGACACCCAAAAAGGCTAAGACCGAACCCAAACACACTGCATCGATCCCATCCCACCCTCATATCTCCTCTCCTCTACTGTCAAGTCTTGAATGCATAATGTCTATGACATCGCCTGCAGGCTCACTAGAGGCCCAGATTGAAAGCTGGAGGGTGACATTGGCCTCAATCAAAATCATGTGCTACACACTTAGACTAGTAATTGGTAAAGCCATGTGCTACACACTTATTAGCTGGAGGGATTTCAAGTAATGCCAAACCATGTTCTGGTAAAGCCTGTCCTTTCCAGTAATGCCAGCTATGTTTCATTTCAGCATCCATATAGATATAGACTAGTAATTGGTTCTAGCCTGAGTTTGTAAATCAACATCCATAAATCAAATACAAAACTTAAAACTAATTGGTGTTCTGGCCTGAGTTTGTAACCATTGCTAGCACATGGGTAAATATTTGAGTATCCATAAATACAATAGTTATCGTTTACTAGTAATTGGTTCTTTCACCTATATACTAATTCTTATATATGTACAAGAATACTATAAACACAACTACAAAACTAATAAGCAACATCTGCATAGTCTTCGGTCCTTCGGTAAATAATTGCTGTAAAGCCATCTTTGTCCTTCAGCAACTAATTTCTCTAACTTTTCAACATGGCTTTCTAGATTCAATGCATTGCTCTTGGTTTATGTAGCTTCATCTGAACTACTTATAGGAATTGCCCATTCAAAAAAGTTGCAACACTTCAAATTGGAGTAGTTGAAATTGGAATAAGTTTCCTCCTCAGTATCATTTATCTACATACATGCAAACACAAGTCAATACATTTAACATAACAGATTTGTCATCACAAACACACAATGAAAATATAGTAATACTTACAGGTTTGCCAGGGCAAGTGTAAAATAACCTTTGATAATTAGCAGATGTCTTTGACACGTGAAGTATACATTTTTTTCCACATTTACAGTATCTTGCACTATATTTTAAGCTATTACGAAACCTAATTCCAGATGTGGATTGAGAACTCATTCTTGTATTGATAAATGAAAATTAATTATTTACGGTCCGTTTGGTAAGTCTTTTTGAGAAGATCTTCTCATAGCTCTGACAGTCAATAAATGCATTGAGCTTTTGACATAAGATCTGGGCAGCCCGAAGACCGTTTGGCAGACGTGCATCTTTCTATGCTTCGTTTCGAGTCTTTCCGTGTGAGATTAAATTGCGAAAGACGTGGGAAGCTTCATTTGGAGCATCCCAAAATCAGCCCAAAATGGGCTGGCTTCCCACATCTTTTTGGCACCCCATCTTTTGGCGACGAGGTCTTCCGCGTGCCAAACGGGAATAGACCGATTTTCGGTCTTCCCAACTTTTAAGCAGCGAAAAGACCGCACAAAAACACGCACCAGATGGGGCCTTAATTTATTGCCTCCCTAAAGCTCACTCTTCATTTTTAAATGAGTTTAGAATCAAACTAGCATGTAGGGCTGTCAACAGGCAAAGCTCAGTCAAACTTTGCCTACCTCCACTTGGGCTCGGGAACTTTTAGTTGGCTCAGGTTCTCCTAGGACCTGGTAATGGTACCAGCTATCTAATGTCTTGGGAGGGCTGAAATAGAAATGGACCTAACCTCCAGAATTTTTAACATGAAATGGCCACTGTCAAACTCAAACCCACCTTGTCATTCAGAAGCCAAAATCAGTACCAGTTCCTCGAAGTTGTTCAAGGAGCACTTAAACTTCTCTCCAACACAAAAGCCAAGTTACCACACCTGATCCTAATTACAGAGTGCAAKAAACCTTCCCCAATCATTAAAAATGCTGCCTCAACTTCTGGTGAATTGCAATATGAAAGTTTGCTAGAGGTAGGACAACTGAATTTTGATATCAGATGGCCAAWGGATGAATGGGACCCTATTTCATTGAATTATACTTCTGGCACCACATCAAGTCCCAAAGGAGTTGTTTTCAGCCACAGGGGAGCTTACCTCAACTCCTTTGCAGCAGTTCTTTTAAACTCCATGGGCCCGATGCCTGTGTACCTATGGACTATTCCTATGTTCCACTGCAACGGATGGTGCCTCACTTGGGGTGTGGCAGCTGAAGGTGGCACCAATGTTTGTCTCAGACATGTCTCTGCAAAGGGCATATTTGATAGTATCTGTCTCCACAAAGTAACACACATGGGTGGTGCACCAACAGTCTTGAACATGCTTGTCAATGCACCTTCCAGTGAAAGGAAGACACTTCCCCACAAGGTTGAGATGATGACAGGCGCTGCACCACCACCTTCAGAGATCTTGTTCAAGATGGAGGAACTTGGTTTTGGCGTTACACACTCATATGGCCTAACAGAAACCTATGGTCCAGGAACAGTTTGTACATGGAAGCCTGAGTGAGATGCCTTGTCTGCTCATGAACAAGCAAAGATCAAGTCCCGCCAAGGCCTGCAACATCATGGAATGGAGGAGGTTGACATAAAAGATCCAGTGGCCATGAAGAGTGTACCAGCAGATGCAAAGACCATAAGCGAAGTAATGTTTAGAGGCAATGTGGTGATGAATGGGTACCTTAAAGATTTGACATAAAAGATCAAGTCCCGTCAAACCGATTCTTCAGTTTTTCAAAAATCCAGAACCGAAACCGAATTAATCAATTTGATTAACCGCATTTTGCGATTCAGTTTTCTCAGTTCGATTCAATTTTTCGGTTTTTCAGTTTTTCATAGACACCCCTAACGCAAAGCTTTCTTTTATAGATTCCTTATCAATCACCAACATTTACAACTGGTCTCCTACTCCAGAATAATTGTATTACAAAAGATTTGTTATTCAACTCTTGTGGAATTTTCAGGCCAAAAAAATGAATAAATAGACAATATTGGTATATATATCATTAGTTTTCTATACTCCCACATGCATGCATTATAGTACAATCTATTGCGTGTTTCTAATAAAGGCTTTAATTTCTTATCGAATTAACTGGGGCGGTTGGGAATCACCTTCTACCTTCCTTATATAAGTACAGAATAAAATAAGAGTCAAATACTTTGAAGTTGACAACTAAGTGGACCCACAAAGCTAGGAGAGAGAAACGGATGAGCACCGTATTAGTGAGGCCCATTCGATGTAAGGATTTTGGATTTTATTAAAGAAACTTAAAAAGAAAGATCTCTATGCCTATGCTGAGAGGTCCCAGTTTAAGAGATTTGTAAAATAATATTCTATTTGAGGTGAGAATGAACCTTGTAATTTTATTTGAATTTTGAACTGTCTATAAATGATAGAGTTTAAATACAAAAGGTATTCAACTACTTCATTAAACAAAATGAGTGAAACGGCTAATTGACAATAAAATAGTCAATAATAATGGGATTATCTTCTCTAATTTATTGACCGATTCCTATGCAAACAAAATAACAACAATAACAACTAATGCAAATCTTAAGTCATAATCTGCAAGCCTATGGTCCAGGTCACTCGTTGATTTGCATGTCCCATGCAAATCGATGCATGCTCAATCCCGTACCTTGGATTCCTGATAGGCACTTGAGTTGATCTTCTTGGCTTATCATTGCCCCATCTTTCAATGGAACCTTGTCCTCAAGGTTCAAGTTGATATACTTGTTTCACAGCTCCTGTGTATTTTCCCACGTAGCATCTTCTTTTAGAAGCTTTTTCCACTGGACAAGGCTTTCCTCAACAAAACTTGATCCTTTCTTAACCCATCTAGTATCCAAAATAGTTTCAGGTTCCATAATAAGCTCACCATCATCAGTTATGGGTGGCAACTCAGTGCTAGTGGCAGTAGTCTCCCCTACTTGCCTTCTAAGTAGTGAAACATGAAAAACAGGGTGAATTCGAGAACCTGGAGGCAATTTGAGTTTGTAAGCTACCTTCCATCATTTTCTTCAATTTGGTATGGACTATAAAAGCGACTAGCCAGCTTTTGATATGCTCTCCTATAGACAGTTTGCTAGTGATAAGGATGGAATTTAAGGAAGACCAAATCCCCCACTTGGAATTCCACGTCCCTTCTTTTGAATCGGCCATTTGTTTCATTCGATTAACTGTTGCATGTAAATTGATTTTGAGCCGAGATACCATTGTCTGGTCCACCTCATCCACAGAAGATGTTCCAACTTGATAATTCGGAATACTTGGTGGTGGTCTCCCATAGAGAGCTTGAAAAGGTGTCATCCCAATAGAGGAGTGGTATGTAGAGTTGTACCAAAATTCAGCCCATGGAAGAAAAGAACTCCATTTTCGGGGTTGTTGAGAAACAAAACATCGAAGATATTGCTCAACACACCTATTAACTATCTCGGATTGACCGTCGGTTTGGGGATGATAGGCAGAGCTCATGTGCAACTTAGTTCCAGACATTTTGAAGAATTCTCGCCAAAAGTGACTTATGAAAATGG